TTGAACCTATATGGGATACGATATGCATAGTAAAGACTAACTTTATTTATTCATATTGGATTCAATTTCAAGGGTCAGGGACACATTTCATATTTATGGTAACTATGCAAAAAAATTTATTAACAAGGTTTAATTAATATCAAGGAAATAAATTTTTTTTGTAACGGTATGCGTAGCATTATAATTAAGCCAGAGACTAGTTCACACTAAGTTTAATGATTTCTTTCTTTTGTATGAAAATAAATGGTTCCAACATAACAGCTGTTCATAATATCTAATGCCTCATCAGTCTTTACTGCAAGCTGAAGATGACGAATAGGTTCAAACCATCTGGCTAAAGTGACGAGATTTTTGCACAATTCGGCTAAATTCTGCCACGAATCCTCACCGTTTGATCTATTGAATGCAGTGAGAATTTCTCTAGGATTCGATAACTAATATCCGTAAACAAAATCATCTTTGTCCACTGCTGAACGCTGTCCACACCTTGATGCAACCACCACCTCCCTCCATAAATTTTCATCCGTAGTTAAATCTCGATATACCAAACTTTTTACTTTTTCCATATCAACCCAATATACTACAATTCCATTGAATCCATCACGTCTCTTAATAAGATCGATTGCATTATCAAGTGATGGGTTCAGGTAAAAGCTTTGATTTTTCCCAAAATCGAGATAGTTTCTATAACAGGTAAGATAAATTCCATTCTTACTGATAGATTTAGCACTTTGATAGTTTGTTGCATGGAAGAAAGCTTTGTGATTAGAGTCCGTTGGGTTAGTGACTTTTGTATTACAACTGATCAAAGAATCTTTTCCAATAGTAACGATTTCTTCATAAGACGAAGCAAACATTTGTGGACCATCATATCTTTCATAACTGTGCCATTCATTCCGTTGAAATTGCAAATTATAAAAAACTGTACTGAAACTCATTTGGATGGATGTATTCCATGAATTGTAAATCCAGTCAAGTAACCAATGTTTTAACACTTGCTGAACCCAAATGGGACCATGCACACTACTACGTAGTCTGTCCGCTGTCTCCTCTGTAAGACCCCACTTCACAAGCAATTTCTTATCTTCTCCTAATTCTACACCTTCATTCCCCTCGATGCCAACAAAAATTGTTGGATCCATTTGCTCGCGTTCTTCAAGAAAATCCAACATAATTTCCTCATTAGTCTTTATTTCAAGACAAGAGCTCCTTGCCAGAAAAGAGTCAACAAGACTTGGTTGAAAACCACGATCGACAAAGTGTGTGGTGATCTCGCTGAGGAGAGCGTCATCATTATTGGTTAAGTCACCAGGTAATGTTTCTTCAGGTATGACTGGTGGTGGAGAGGTACTTCCAAAAGACATGATCGAATCTTTTAAAAGTTATTCGGTATTAGTATGTGTAGAGACTATAAGTTTATATATAGAACGTACCTTTAGTATCTTTTAGATTTTCAAGGAAAGCTTGATATGAAATCCCATCAATTATCAACTTCTTATATTGTCCGGGCTTAAATAGATAATTGCAAATATTAGATCCGATTATAAGAACTAATATAATATTATTGATTGCGCAACATGATTGTGTCTAGTGATCCACATGATTGATTATATCTCTTTAATTGTAATAAGGAATTGGTAGAAAGATTCACAAGATTTGTCTTTATAAAATACTGTATTTTAATAAATATATTTTAATTACAAAGATTCTTGAAGAATCTTTGCCATATCTTGGAATATTTGTAAGAGATTATCTCTGGAACAACATATAGTTCTATATAATTTCTAATTCCTTCTAAAATTACTATTTGGATACTAGATCAAAACAATTTTGATTACAATATCAATACTGAAAAAATTTTGATATTAGTTTTATAAAATATTGTATTAAATAGTATCAATTAGAATTCTAGTTACTGTATTATATTATATTAAATTAGTTTTAATATTTGATTTTGATACTTTCAGTTCAGTATCGATATTATAAAGTTTTGTACTGAAAATTTTTGGTAATTACCAATATAGATATCAAAAAAATTTTCAGTATTGGTTTTATAAAATATTGTATCGAATAGTACCGATCAGAACCCTAATTACTAATTTATTTATAATCGGTTATTGTTTTCTATATTTATATATGTTCCTTTGTAATTAGTATCATTTTTTCACTATTTTTTTTATCAATTTTTCAAGAGCTTATAAAATATAGGAATCTGTCAATAATTGATTATGTCGATAATCCATACAATATTTTTTTTTCTTCTCTTTATTTTTTTACAGCTGTTACTGTTTTTTTAAATAAATTTTGTAATAGTCCACAAGTTACACCCTCTATCAGCAAAACTGTAGTACCATGTAATTCATCCTCTGACTAACAGTAAAGAGTATTTCCTGAAAAAATATTAAAAATTTAAATTGGCAATACTTTAAATTTTTAAAAATTTAGTATTTTTTTTAAAAATACTTGTCATTTCTACTTTAATTTTCCATTTGGCTAAATAAAAATTACCACCATTGAAATTTCCTTCCTGACAATCGAATTCACCACTATTGGCAGGCTGTATTCCTCTTAAACAAGTCACTGCAATTGCATATTCTAAAAAATTAGTATCAGTATATGCAAACTTACTATATCTTCAGATTACATAGGCCTTATAAAAACCTAAAGGATGGTTTAAAAAAATTTTTTTGCCATTGCAAGAAATCATAATTTCTTTATTAACAGCATTATATTGATTGCCATCTAATTGGAAAAAGTCAAATTCTTTGATTTTTTTTTGGATATTTGAAGTCATGTCCTCAAAAAATATATTCATAGTATAGTTAAAAAAAAAACTGTTTATTGCTACAACATTTTCTTCTTGCAAATATTGTTTTTCTGATTCTCACAATTCTACAGGTATGTTGTGAACATAACATCAGGAAATTTTTTTGGTGGAGATCTCCAGAGATTTTCACTCAAAAATCTTCAAAGGTTTTTAAGAATTTTTAATATAGAATTTTTTAAAATAAAAAAACTCCAGAAATTTTTATTT